CCCCACGCGAGGACCTCCCCCGCGCCCGCCCCGCGGGGGGGAAACGGGCCCCGTGCAGCCCCCGGGACGTGAGGCGCGGGTCGGCGGCGCAGGGACCCGGGCTCGGGCGTTCCAGGCCCACAGCCGCAGCGGCACCGGGGGTGGGGGGCACTCGGTCTCCGGAGACCCGCGCCGGAACGGCGTCCGACGTGGGGGAGGGCGGAGGAGGCGGGAGGGTTGGCGCGGGCCGCCTGGGTTGCGTCTGTCCGCCCGGCCCCAGCCCCCGAGGTACCCGGGGTTTCCTGCGCGCCCGCGACCTCCCCCACCCCCGCCCGAGGGCGTGCGACGCGGGGCGGGGACCCGGCGCCGCGCCCGCCTCAGCGGAGAGCGGGAGGCGGAGTCTCCTCCCGGACCCCCCAATTCCTCCCACGCCGCTCTCCCCGGGAGCCGGACGGGGCAAATTCCTGCAGCAGCCCAGGGGCGAGCCGCCCCCGCCCCCGCCCCCGGGGCCCTGTCCATCCGCCTCCTACCTGTCTCCCGGAGCCCGCTCTGTGGGTGCCCGCCCCAGCCCAAGTCTGGGAGGTCGGCCAGGCCGCCCGGAACGCCTGAGGAGGTGGGACTTTCCCCGCTGCTGGCTGGCTTCCTCCTCGCCCATCTCCCCCCATCCAGCTCTGCTGACATCCATACCCGGTGACCTGCGATGCCCAGGGCCTCCATCCCTTTGGGTCTATGCCAAGGCTTGGCTTGCCCTTCGCTTTTGGGGCTGGCACCGGTCCCATTTCCTCTGTACCCAAGTCTTCCGGTTCTGTGCCATCCTTCCTCCATGCCCACCTTACATACAACACAGCCCTGTGTCCAGCCATCTGCTTGTCCTCTACCCCTGAATTCTGTGCTTCGGCCACAACTGAGTTGCTCCGCACACAATCTGCTGTTTCCCACCTCCCAACCACCATTTCCCGCTGCCTAGAATGCACTCTGGAAACCCCCTCTTAACCTTGCAAACTCCTAGTCACCCCTCAAGATCCGCCAAACATCATCTTCTCTAGAACCGTCCCCATGCCACCCCAGGCTAAGTTGGTGGCCCCTTGCTCCCTCAGTCTCCATCTCTGTCTGCTGTAGTTCTATGGTGCATCACACAGCAGGGATCTGAGTCTCCCTAATTCAGCTGTGAGGTCCCTGAGGGTAAAGCATGCATCCCTGTCATGTGAGTTCAAAGCACTAGTTGGGATCACGGTAGGAGCTCAATGAATGCGATACATTTAATTTCCTTTCCTAGTTGTCCTTCTTTTTCTCAACCAAGGCACTCCTTGTCTGCCATCTCTGTTTTGGAACTGAAAATCACCTATCCCCAGAAAAATAGCACTGGCCCTGGGGCACTCGGAGGTGGGGAGGTCACAAGGTTGATCCCTTTCCCTCATCCTCTTCTGTCTTCAGCCCCTTTCCCAGCCCAGCTATTGGGCATTTCTCCCCTGGCCTCCTGAGGGTCAGAGAAAAGTCACCAGTGGGGAGCTCACCCCCTCTTAAGACCTCCAGCTCCTGCAACTCATCTCCTTGGGCCATCACAGATGCTCAGACAAAATGCTTATTAAAACATAAGCATGTTGGGCTTCCCTGGTGGCGCAGTGGTTGAGAGTCCACCTGCCGATGCAGGGGACACGGGTTCGTGCCCCGGTCCAGGAAGATCCCATGTGCCGCGGAGTGGCTGGGCCTGTGAACCATGGCCGCTGAGCCTGTGCTCCGCAACGGGAGAGGCCACAACAGTAAGAGGCCCGCGTACCGCAAAAAAAAAAAAAAAAAAAGTAAGCATGTTAAATCTGGCCCATTTCTTACCTGTCAGTGAAAAGAGGAGATGCAGCAGCTGTGTAGCAGGGGCCCCTGGGGACTTCTGTGAATTCTTAGGCAAAGATAAAGCTTGGCAGAGAAAAGGGAGTGGGATTACCCAAAGCCTCTCTAGAAAAGGAAAATCTGTTTCTTCCATTCAAAAAGCCCCACTCCCTGCTCCCCTCAGCCAGGAATTTTCAGAGCTTGATCAAAGGTCCCTGTAAAGTGGGAGGCAGCTGCTTCTCTTGCTGTGGGGTTGAGCAGCCGAGGAACCTCCCGGATCTGTTGCTGGTTTCCCTCTACAATCTATGATCCCTTCTCAGACACCCCGGCCCATGATTTCTTACTCCTCACCCCAGCGGCAAAGGAGACCCAGAGCCTGGGGAGGCAGAACCCGCACACAGTGCATCCTTGGACCCACCAACTGGGCTCTGGCAGTTACTGGTTAGGGCAAGCACTGGCCTTTAAACCTCACGTCCCACCGCCTCAGAGAGACATGGTGAGCACGGTGCCCAGCACATAATTCTTGTTCATTAAAAAAATGGTGTGCACAAAAACATGGTGGTTTAGAAGGAAGATTCCAGGTAAAAGTGTAAGACCTTCTCTTTCATTGTAAATTCCCCTCTGTACTGGCCCTGTGTCACACTCACTGTGGCTGCACCAGGCTCCCTTCCACGTGGGGCTGGGGGTAGGGTTAGCCTGGGATGGCAGAAGCAGCAGGAACCTGCTCTGCCTCTCATTGTGTGTGAACTCGGGCAAATCATGTCACCTCCTTGTCTCAACTTGCTCACTCGAGCCTCACGCAGAGGGTGGTGGAGTAGGGAAGTAACTGGCTTCTATAAAGCTGCTACCAGGTGCTCAATAAAACTGAGTTCCTTTTGTCCCATGCTCCCTCCACCCGTATCCTGGATTCCCTACATATTGAACATCTTTGTAGATTGCAGATCTAGGGACACAGCCAAGAAATAAGTGGCCAGATCTCTTTGTGAGGCTGGGTTGGGATGGGGAGCCGAGAGAAGAGGGAGATGGCGAAACTTCAAAAGCCTCAGGGCTCCCAGGATGCACCTCGGCCAGGAAGCCTTCCCTGTACTCCCATGGTATGGGGTTTGCCCTAGCACTTTGAACTACTGCAGTGATGCATTTGTCTCTCTTTCTCCCTTTAAGTTGTGAACTTTGCAAGGGCAGTGGTCTGTGTTGTTCATCATTGTGCCCTGTACCAGGGGTTGGTAGTGGCCCTGAAGGTGCCCCTCAAGAGAGTGGTGTGGGAACCATGACTGGTTGACAGTCTCCAGCTGCCAGATCTACACCGTGTTCCGAAAGGCTCTCTCTGCTTCTGCTCCCTTCCTTTTATCTTTGCTGCATTTCCCCCAGTAGATCTCCCGTGCACCTAACCTGACCTGACACACGGGGCTCTTGGTTACAATCTGCAGAAAAGGACATGGCTAACTTAGAAAAGTTATTCAGAGGAAAGACATTGGGAGCTCCTGGAATTGACAGGAAGCTGGAGAATCAGGCACAGAAATGGGCTGGAATCACAGAAATGGTCATAGATCATGGCCCAGGACCAGTGCTGGTTAGGACATCCTGCTGGA